TACCCCTCATATTTTCGGCTAACTTTTCTTAACTAGACATCCTAACTTCAAAAGGTCATATCTCACTCATCCGAACTCAAAATCAACAAACTCGTCGGCTTTAAAAAGATAATTGAAAGAGCTTTTCTATGGTATCTTGTAGCACACCTAACTCATTATGTGCTAGGAGTTATGGTCGTCTGAAGTTGACTCAAAAGTCATACTTAACTTAACTTGCAAAATTTCAGATTTGCTATTTCCAATTTAATTCTTTTTGGAACTCAAGATGCTAAATCTAGTGAACTGACCTAAATAGTTAAGAAAATTTTTAATTCCTTGGTGAAATCTCACTCAATACGATAAACGGCTCAAGTCTTAGTTCGAAAAAATTTCTGGGGTGTTACAATATCCTGTTCATATTTAAGGTACGTAACTCTGATTTTGTTGAATCTTCTATTAGTGTTTATCATATTTAATATAAGTGTACTTAATACATAAACTTTGTGTTATGTATTACACACAAAAAATTATGCTATTTAAACAATTACATGTATCATATTTTCTTTTAAAAATAAAATATAGTATTTCTCAAACAAAATAAGATACATAAATAATAATGTATCATGGACTAACTTTTTAGGCATGATATATAAATTCAAAGTCATACTAAATATATCAAATACACAAAAAATACCAAATAATAATAAGGGAAAACTTACATAAATATACTATAAAAAATATGTACCACTTATAGCAATAATTTTTTTTTTCACTTGATCGCTTTTAATACATTTATAATACACTTTTAATTCATATTACAAAGAACAATTTATTATTCACATATTATACAAGTTTTATTGATGGAAAATACATTTATCACACATTTTAATACACTTATAATATAATGTGTCAACTTCTTACCAAAAAACATAATATATTTTTAAAAACAGTTATAATACATATATATTGCATACTGAATTCACTTTTAATACATATTAGATATTTAACATAGTATTGCTATAAATGGTAATAAATAAGAAGTATCCTAAAATCCGTAATTATTTATTAAAAGCACTCGTCCAAGTAATTTTTCCACAATAATGTATCATCTCAAACCTAAAATCTTATGCGCAACACTTTCTTATTTAATGTATCTAGTAGAAATACAACACTAGTCAATTTAAATTGAAAGGATCTTCGTGATGTATATTCTCAAAATTTATGATAACTTTGAATCAAAAGTGAACAGATTCAATGAATTAGGAGAATAATTTTGAAACTCAAAATTTTCAACAATTTTGAATCAATTTGAAAGGATCTTGATAAATTTGAAGATTCACAAAAGAATTTATTTGTCCAACAACAATTTCATTACTTTTGTGTCATTCATAACTCATCTCGCTTATTCAAAATTTCAATAATTTTTTAAAAATAAAATCTAAAAGATTTCTTCATTGAATAGGTCATGTATAATACAAATTTCAATGTATATACCTTGAAACTGGTCAAAATCCACCCTTGCCAATTTTGATCACAAAAACGTTATTTGTGACTTTTGTTATTATCGACAATTGGGAAAGTGGAAGCTCAAATTCTTTGAGTATCTTTGTCGTCTTTCTGTTGGAACTTGCCACATATATTACAAGCAGTGTTTTTCCATCAAACACAACAAATCAAGACAGGTGCAAGGCATGGTCAATTTGGTCACCATGCATCGCGAAAATTTATTTTAACATAAGTTCTTACCTAGTCTTAAAAGATACATCATAGCTATTGTTTTCGGCCTTTTTCAATCTATTACAATTTGGGTGAAAATTGAAAGAAAAAATTTGAGTTGTTTGAAGCGAGACAAATTTGAGAGAAAAAAAAATTAAATTTTAAATTGAAGATGGGTGGAAGTGAAAGAGAATTGAGAAAAGAAAATTTTAATTTTAATTTCACGGATCTTTTAATTTGGGAGATATACAAATCAATCAGATTAGCCTGATTTGGGAAGTGACATCAATTTTATATTCTCTTTCCTTTAAAAATGTAACTGGTTTTGTTTTGATGTATCAAATTTAAATTTTAAAAGTGTAACTGATTTTGTTTTAATGTATCAAATTTGATTTTTAAAAGTGTAACTGATTTTATTTTAATGTATCCACCTTTTTAATTATGTATCCGGATATCACTAATTTTTGAGGGATTTTTGTTAATTGAAAAAAAATAGGGACATAATTTAGTTTAAATCCTTATATTTTTTATAAGTTATACTAAATTAATTGACTGGTCGGATATATAGTTTCTTTAGCCCAATATTAGATATCTTTTTGGAAAAATTACGCGATTGAGCAAACTTATATTACTTAATTATTCATTATAGATATAGTTTGCTATAATTACTACTCATGGCTAAAATTATACCTTAATTATGTGACTGATTTCGAGTTTGTATATTAGTCACATTTGTATATGGATAACTCACCAGAATATATAAATACATGTATAAATTTAAGGAATCCCATAGTGTAATTCAATAATTACATTCTGTCCCGATAAGTTTAATAATTACAAAAAATCCCTTAAAATTGCTGAGCCGTGATACTTTAGAAAGTTATGATACATGGTAAATGATACATAGTAACTTAAAACTGTTAAGAAAAAATAGGGGATAAAAACGGTAAATTTAAAGCTGTTACTAAAACAGCTTAATTTGTGGTAACAGATCATTAATCGG